CATTGTTTCAGAAGGCTGCATCTCTACAAATGGCATGTTTTACTTTGAAGGTGGAATGGCTGCAACAGCAGGTGGTCCACAGGAGAGCAAAGAGGACCTCTGGAAAAAGCCAAATCCATGTTCCGAACTTGGAGACCAAAGACCTTCATGCTCATCAGTCTAACCACACCCTGATGGAGCACTTTATTGCTCCTGTGTGGAACAGGTTGTGGCACATTGTGAGTCTGTTTTCTTTTCTTTGTTATTATTTTGTTAATAAAAGCATGTGACGACAGCCAAAGCCTAAAACTAATTCATTCTTCTTAAGAACTAAGTCCAATGTCCTGCTGTTTGCTTCACAGCACTGCAGTGGTGAGTTAAATGCCTGCCAGTTTCACATGAACATTGCAGGGGCCTGGAGGAGAGGATATACTGGGAAGGATGTGGTGGTGTCTGTCCTAGATGATGGCATTGAGAAAGAGCATCCTGATCTGAAGCCAAATTATGTAAGTGCCCTAGGATGGGAGGCTCTTCTCAGGAAGGGGACATTAATCATTAGCAATTTGGCTGAGCTTTTAGAGGAAGAGCAAGGAGCTGAAACAGATATTGCAGGCAAGAGCACTTGGGTTAAAGGTTTAGAAAGACTGGTTAAGAGTATTGGAATAGACATTAAATGTCTGATCCACTTAACTGTGCAGGGACTGGTGAATAATGCTCTTTGTGATTTGTCTGATGAAATGGAGACAGATAGCTGCTGGCAGCTGTTATGTGCTGCTACTTACTATTGTCTTGATGTAGGATCCACTTGCCAGCTATGATGTGAACGGACAAGACCAAGATCCTTCTCCAAGTTATTCTGACAATGCTGCTAACTTGTAAGTATATTCCACCTCCATATTTCTTTTTGCACCTGCCGTGACTCTTCCTAATCGCAATTCAGTTGTTAATTATTGCAAGTTTTCCTTGTCGCTTCTGAGCAATTGTACACATGTATTGATGTGCAAATTTCCTAATCTGAATTCTTGTTTTGTCACCGACTTGATGCGGTGGATATGCTCCATCTCCTCCTCATGCATATGCATCCAACCTCAATTTCTGATGTTTTTCTCATTTACTCTGAAGCCACGGGACTCAGTGTGCAGGAATGGTGGCTGCAACCGCAAATAACTCACAGTGCACTGTTGGAGTCTCGTTCAATGCTCGGATAGGAGGCAAGTCCATGTGATGGCATGAACGAAGCAGTCTGAGGTTGGAGTTTTGTTGTTAATTCAAACATTGTTATGTTTTGTCTCACCTCCTCCTGTAGGCATACGCATGTTGGATGGAGATGTGACAGACATTGTGGAAGCCCAATCTTTAAGTTTCAGGCCACAGTATATTGATATCTACTTAGCTGGCTGGGGGCCAGAGGACGATGGGGCCACTCTGGATGGACCTGGACCCCTGGCTCAGCTTGCTTTGCAGATTGGCATTGAAAATGTGAGAGGAAAAGTGCATGTGTTGGCGAGCTTTGTTGGCTGTGTTTGTTGAACTCAATGTCAAATTTATTAAAATTTTCATTTGTATGGTATCAATGGTAGATCTTTTTTTTTTTTTTTTGTGGCCTAAATCAAAACAGGGCCGACATGGAAAGGGTTCAATTTTTGTGTGGCCGTCGGGGAACGGAGGGCGTGCAGGTGACCACTGCTCCTGCGATGGCTACACCAACAACATCCACACCATTTCTGTCAGCAGTGTCACTCACAGAGGAATCCATTCAGATTACCTGGAACAATGTTCCTCCACACTGGCAGCAGCCTACAGCGGTGAGGAGATGGTGAGTACAGGTTCTGGAAAAATTGTGAAACTATCCAGGTTTAGATCATTAAGACTTTGCATGTATTTCACATATTGGGATAAAATATGTATTTAAAAAAATTAACAGTACTTTTTTTGCTGTGTTTCAAACAAACCTTTACTGAGGGTAGTTTGTGTGGATGTATATTTGTTCGAACATAAGAATCTATGAGAGTAAAATTAAACATTTGCATTATTTATGTCAATATGTATTTAAACAAACACCTAATTTGTAACGTGCTTATCCCTTGATTCATTTTGAGTGTGGAAAAATAAATTATTATGCTTTGAAATATCATTACTGTTGTATTAGATAAGCCTCTTTGTCATTAAATTGAATTATGCAAATAAATGAACTCAAATGATTAAGAAGTGTTGATGAATTAAAAAAAAAATTCAGCATGCATTGTATTTAGGCTAACACTCTCCTGCATAATGAAAAAAAGCGATACATTCTATATAAACTGTATTTCTGTCGTGTGATAAAACATCTGTTATAATACCTAACACATGCTGGAATTTCAAAAACAGCTAGTTATAATGATGCACCGTTTGTAATTTTGTTCATGTCTCTTGGAAACTTATTTGAACATTTTTTTTTAAGTCTGTGTTCAAATTTGACGTCACCCTTCCTGACCAGCTGCTCAGAACCAGAAATAATACATTTGGTAACGGAAGTACAGATGGGTGGATTAGAGACATCTTCTGCTGTTGAGTGTTATTATCAGAGACACCTGTCAATCAAGCAAATATGCCCCAAACAGACCCCTTTGTAAAGTCACAAAACAATAATTTTCAATCTCTCAGCCTCTATTACATGAAAAATGAAGTATATCTAAATATGTGAACATTTTTAAAAGACCAAGTCATTGACAGTTTTTTTTCATTTGTTTTGTGGAAAAAAAAAAAGGTTAATTAAACCTTAATACCCTTTTAAAATGCATAATAAATATCAATGTGATCATTAAATAAAACAAAATTTATACCACATTGACATCAGTTAATTATTTACACAACGAAAAGTTAAAAAGACACAGGCTTCACAAGTTGTCTACTAATTTGTACAAAACTATCAAATAAAGTCAGGGTTAATGGACAGTTTTCTTTATAACAGTTGTGTATGTTTCTACACAACATTAGGTAATAAGAGAACTGAGATTGGGACGATGGAAGTATGCACATTTTATATAATTTGGGCTAATAAAATGCAAAATTGTCCACCAATAAAGAAGCTGGTCAGACTCTTTGTTTAACTTTGTACTTTATATCTCTTTGAATCTAAAATTTTGATCACATTTAAAATCCTTTCAATTGATTATCATCACTAAGATACATCCCAGTTTTGTGCAGTTTCAGATAAATTAGGTAATAATGCCACTATGCCACTGACAGGTAACCCCAGGACCACAGCAGGGCTGTTCCAGGACTCGATCAGGGACTTCCCTCTCCTCCTCTGTGGCTGCTGGGATCATTGCTCTTACATTGGAGGCCAAGTGAGCAGCTCTCATTTACACAAAGTCCAGCATTCTGACCAGGTTAAAATCAATAACTGATGTTTGCTGAGAATATGTTCTTCCCTTCTGTTTGACCCTTTTATAGTCCTTCGCTAACCTGGAGGGATGTGCAGCACATTATTGTTCGAACATCAAAATCTCATCACCTTGTTGCTCCAGACTGGCACATCAATGGAGCTGGATACAAAGGTATCTGCTCAATTTCAAACAAACACTTGGAATAGTTTCTAAAAATATCATTAAAATATGATCTTTTTTTTATTACGTCCCTTTAAAACCCAAAGACAGGCTGAAAAAATATGAATTTGGTATTTTTGGTGAATATTCTCTTTGAACAAGGAAACTATAAAGCAGAGAACACATTATAAACTAACGAGGTTCAGCCAGCAGAATTGCAATAAACGCCCACAAAGTCTCAGGAGGATGTGAAATCTTTAAGATGGCTTTATGCCCTTTCTACCCCAGCTAATGTGTTTTTTTCTGTTAGTGAGCCATCTTTATGGCTTTGGCCTGCTGGATGCTGAAGAAATGGTGAAGGAGGCAGAGCGCTGGAAACCAGTCCCCTCACAGCACAAGTATGTGGAGGAGGCTGCCAGCCAGCTGAGCAGGTATCACACCAACGTGACTGCAAAACATCTTTGCTTCCAGTCAGGGATTCCCTTTGTTCTGTCTCTCACACTTAAATACCCTTCTTTATTAGTTGCTTTTCTTGTAATTCCTTGTTTGCTTTCTGCCTCTTCTCTTATTTCTGGTGTTCACAACGTTGCTTTATTCCTTTACTCTGTCTCGTCGCAGAGTTATTCACCCAGGCTCAGTGCTGACACATGTCTTTGAGGCCATGGGCTGCTCCATCAAGGCCCTTCAATGCGTTGTTTATGTGGAGCACGTTGTAGTCCGTGTAACCATCACTCACAGGCGTCGTGGCGACCTTTCCATTACGCTCACATCACCTTCAGGCACTGTGTCACAACTGCTAGCTAACAGGTAATGTTCCACTACCATCCCCTACCTCCTCCTGGTCTCTATGAGTTGACTAATGTTGTGTTGTTTTTGTTGTTTTTCAAGCATTTAATGCACAGAGTAAAAGTCTTCATGTTGGCAACTTTGTAAGAAAAGTTGATTTTGGAAAACACTGTTGGAAAATGACAGTAGTGATGCTCATATGGTGTTTCAAGGGACGTAATTTTTGAGCAAGTTTCTAAAAAGATTTAATCCTGGCAAGTTTCTAACAATCCTTGCCTTACTGGTTTTTTTTAGTTTGTTTGTTTTATTTTTTTTCAATACTACTCGAAGCCATTAAAATAAAAAGCATTACACAGGAATGAGGCAGCGATACACTCAGTTTTGGCAACCCTTTGAATTAAAAATAATTGTCAAGAATCAGCTTTTATGATTCGTAAACTCAGCCGAACAACAAGAAAGTTTAAAATAATTATTAATTTGCAGCTGGTGGTGGGAGTCAGGATCCAGAGGCAGGAACAAAACTGCAAAGATATGAGTGTTAGTGGCTTGTGGGTTTTTAGGGGATTGTTTGTCAATAATTAACAGTCACTAACCTTCTCAGGCAGGTATGGTGATTTACACCTGTCAAAGCTTGTGTGGATGATGTCACCGTAGCTGGTGGAGACACAGCTGCTGAGGTACACTGCAATAGTGATAGTGTGTGTGTGTGCGTGTGTGTGTGTGTGTGTGTGTGTGTGTGTGTGGGGGGGGGGGTTATCCAAAGATGGGGTCCTTTAGGAGAGGCAGAGGTCTTTAAACAGGTCCAAAGGGTGATCCAAAATCCAGAGACTAGGGGCCAGAAGCAAAGGTCATCACCAGGATCAGATGAGCAGAATGAGAGCAGACAAGAGGCAGGCAAAGAGGCAAATCCAGAAAGCAGGCATGGGGTCAAGACAGGAGTTTCAGACAAGATCAATGAAGCGCTGGACATCTACAACCAAAAGGATTAGATAATCTGGCAAGGAGCAGTGAAACAAGAGGTAGGGCAGACAACAGGTGCAGCACATGAGGCTGATTGAGCTGTAGATGAAGTGGGTGTGGCTGAGAGGCAGAGCTTGAGTGGAACATGACTGAGCAGAAATAAGACATGAAGGAGGCAGAAACATAACAATAATAGGACAATATGTAGTATGCTTAAGAATTCAGCTTATAAGTTGGATAACAATAAAATGGTAACCAGCACCTTAGTGATAATTCTTTCAATGTGTTGCTTTTCAATCTGTAATCCAGTGGAATTTTGTGTTTGTTTAAATTTGTTCAAAACATACTTCATTTCATCCATCTATCTATCATCCATCCATCCATCCATCCATCCATCCATCCATCCATATTCTACCGCTTATCCATAGGCAGGTTGTGGAGGCAACAGATCCAGTAGAGAAACCCAGACCCTCTCCCCAGTAACATTTTCCAGCTCTTCTGGGAGACTTTGAGGTGTTTCCAGGCCAGAGAAAATACACCATCCCTCCAGCGACTTTAGAGTCTTTCCCGGGACCTCCAACCAGTGGGACATGCTTGGAAAACCTCTAAAGGGAGGAGTCCGGGAGGAATCCTAATCAGATGTCTGAACCACCTCAACTGACTCCTTTTGATGCAGAGGAGCAGTGGCTCTACTCCGAGATCACTCCAGATGATGGAGCTCCTCACCCCATCTCTAAGGCTGAGCCCGGCCACCTTGCAAAGGAACCCATTTTGGCTGCTTGTGTCCTGGAGCTCATTCTTTCAGTCATGATCCAAACCTCATGACCATAGGTGAGGTTCAAAATGTAGACAGACCAGTAAATCAAAAGCTTTGCCTCTCGACTCAGTTCTTTCTTCTCCACAAGTGTCCAAAACAATGTCTTCATTACTGAGGATGATTCCCCAATCTGGAAATCCATCTCCCATTTCATCCTACCATCATTTGTGAACAAGAGGCCCGGATACTTGAAGTCATCCACCTGAGGCAAAGTCTCCTCCAGAACCTGGTGGGGGCAGCCACCCATTTCTGGTTGAGAACAATGGCCTCACACTTAGAAAAACTGACTCTCATTCCAGCCACTTCACACTAAGCTACAAACAGTCCCAGTGCACGCTGAAGGTATTAGCCTGAAGAGACTAGCAGAATTATATAATCTGCATAAAGCAGAGATGAGACTCTTAGATTCCCAAACTAAACACCCTCCTCTCCAAGACTGCACCTCAAGATCCTGTCCATGGAAACCACAAACAAGATCAGAGGCCAGGGACAGCCCTGATGGAGTCCAGCCCACACTGAGAACAAGCTCAACTTTGTGCCAAGGATGCGGACACAGCTCTTGCTGTGGGACAGGGACTGGATAGCTCTTAAAAGCAACCCAGGTACTGCATACTTCCAAGAACCTTACCTCCTGCAAACCAAAACCACAGAGAGGCAACCATCTCATTCTCCAGGGATTGTGAGTATTCCCACACCCACTCGACACCTCTCTCCCTGGACAACTCTGGGTAGGAGAGAGGCCAACTTCTCTCCATGAGTTGGGTTCCAGAACTCAAGCTGTGCACTGAGGTGAGCCCAACTACATAAAGTTGGTACCTCTCAACCTGACACACAAGTTCCATCTACTTATAGCTAGTTTAGGCCACCAGAAATTGGGATGGCTAAGGACCCTCCCTCAGCTGCTACCAGACATGCACAACACCCAACCTTGACAGACCTCCCTGCAGGTGGTGGGTCCACCTGGAGGCAGTTTCCTGTTTATTGTTCAGGCTTGGACCAGCTGGGCCCATGCCCAATTGATGGTCGACCATTGGTTCACTGGTGGAAACCCCTCACTCCCACCCCCATCCTCCTATTTCTGCAGAATAGCTAAATATTTCCATTACTTAATAATAGATTGAATGATAATCCATAGGATGTTGAGATTGGGGGTATTTTTATATACCCATCCCTGATCTGTACTTCTCCACAACTTTGTCTCTGATCTGTGTGGAGAGTTTCTTGGTCTTCATGCTGTCTCTCTTGGTTGAAGCCCTTCCTAATAGAGGTGTTGTGCTGGTTTTGGATCTGGGGGCCATAAATGTAATTAAGTGTACTGTATTTCTTTAACTCTTGTTTCATGCCCTGAAACGTACTTTCACTATTCTTATCAGCACTCTAACAGGCGTAAGATATGTGAAATGTTATTTTAAGCAGAAGGAAACCCTAAAATAATCTCACTGTTGAATTTCAAATTACACTGCGCTCAGCAGTGTTCTCATTAACTGATTAAATTTTTCCAATTTATACTTTTTCTCCTTCTTACACGAGTTAAATTTGAAATGTTTTTAAACAGTTTACAAGTAAAGATGATTTATGGCAACAATGCTTCAAGGCAAATTAGGTTTTCAAATAATTAATTTGTTGAAATATATAATTTCTGTAAAAAGTAAGCACATCACTGGTTTCAATAAGAAACACTTCTGTCTTAATATAACACATTTTATGATTAAAGAGTTCAGTTTAATGTCGACATTTAGCTAAATATGTCAGAGCACATGAAAGTAGTTTACTGGTCAAGATTTACCACAATGTTCAATCTGATGGGAATCAATCGTCAATCCATACCTCACTGAATGTTTTATTTCAAGTTTCACTAGCAGCTTTACAGAAGAAAATAATCCATAACTTTTTGTTTTTTAATTGTCAAGCAAACTCTATTAATCATATTATCATGTGCATGTTTGATAGGAAAGAACTAGCTAGAACTAGCTACAGTCACTTGACTTGCTTGTGACATTGCACAAATGTTAAATGAAATAAACAAGTGATTTACAAAAGTTAATGTAAAAGAAAAATTAAGATAAGCTTTTTGGGACTTTGTTTCCTGTAACACTTTGAGCATGATGTACATTGATTTTATTTCTTTGGATGATCTAATCATTTATTTGGTCATGAATGTAACCATGATCACAGTGTCAGAACTTAGTCAGGAAGTTTTTTTATTATTATTTTGCCTACTGTAATATGTACAGCAACTAAAGAATAAAGGAAAATAAACAAATAAAGCTTAATATTTTTGTGAAATTGGAGACTATTTTTTTCTAATTTTCAAATTTTATAGATTAATCAATATCAGAGCACTATTGCTATTAAAGATCGATGGCAGCACATATCCTAGTGTGCAAGTCAACCTCAAATCATAACATTTCTAGCATTGTGCTTCACAGTTGGAATTAGGTCTACCTACTGGTAATTAAAAAAAGGGATCTATGGTTAGCACAAACATATATTCTGTTTCTGCTTTTTTTCAATCGCTCCACAGCTCAGAAGCGTAGTGCAAAAAGTGTCATTTTAAAGAGTCATACTTATCTGTCAACAGAAATGCCCCCAAAAAGTGATTATATTTGAAATGACGTTTTTTTCATGAATATTGGTCAGTTTTGTCCTAATGCTCTAATTCTATCTGACACAATTCCCAAGCAGGTCAGATATGAGTAATTTCCTGCTTATTGAAGAAGACAGTTGAACGGGCTGCATACAGGCTTTTGACAAACAACCTACTTTCAGGCTTAATTTGGATCTTGGTAATTCAAAGATGATTTTCTTTTTTGAGAGACTGACTCATTTCAAATCATTTGAAGATCTTTTAAAATTCCTCTTCAGACTTTCAAGCACCTAATGACCTTTTATGTTTGAAGTTCTTGAAGAATATATTGTAGATATTCTTGTAGATTCATTAAGTGTCTTTAGATGAATGTGGAGGAGCAGGTGTTGGTGTAATGTTTTCTTAATTTAACAAAAAAAATGTTGCCTTAATATGTTTTTAATATGATGTATTCATGTAAAAACTTAATTGTAAAGCATAAATAACAAAACATCTTAAAATGGAAGTTTTCTCATGTCCCAAGTTGGAGTTTCTAATATATTTTTTATTGATTAAGCAATGCTGTTTTAAAATAATTTTCTAATTCATAAAAATATAACTTTATAAATATGTATTGTGTTGGTTTAGACCTTTTGACAACTCCACTGAGGGATTTCAGGACTGGGAGTTCATGACAACTCATTGCTGGGGGGAGCGGGCAGCAGGGAAGTGGACTTTGAAAGTCATGAATACTCCATCTCAGAAGCAAGTCAGTGCTAATAGAGGTTGGTTCTTTCTTTTTGTGGCATCTCTACAGTGCAAGACCTACATACACTAAACCCTGAGTTGCAGCAACAGAAACACAGAGCAACGCTCATGGGACAAACCTGTTTTCTTGCCCTCCGTTGTTTCACAGGGATGCTAAAGAAGTGGTCTCTGGTGATTTATGGCACTGCAGAGCAGCCGTATCACATGCATCGTCAGCGACCCCGATCAGCTGAGTTCTCAGAGGATACAGATCTCACAGAGGCATACAATGGTGACTCATACACCCTGCCTACCCTTGTTCTAGATTGGAGCTTTTTACATAACAGCTTCATGCAGTTTTTACTCACACTAGTATAGCATATGATTCCATTGAAACAGCATTTTGCAGCGAGTTTGTTGTAGCTGCCATTATGGTACTTTGACTTTAGTTGCATTTTCCCTTGCAGGACCCTGTGACCCAGAATGCAATGATGACGGCTGTGACGGGCCCAGCCCACAGCAGTGTGTCACATGCTTGCATTTTTTTCTCAAGTTCAAGAACAACTCAAGGTTAGCATGATCACACAGTGCAGACAGCAGTTAGATGATACATATGAACAACATGACTTTGTTGTTCTATCTGCCAAATGTTCCATTTTAAAATAGCATGCAATTTACAAACCCAGCTCTGAAAAAGAAAACAGAATTAAGTAATTTGCTAATCTTATGAATTCATATTTTATTCATAATGGAAAATTTGATGGGGTGGGGAGACAGTTCAGGTCTCTCTTGTAAATGAGTCCTCAAGGCTCAATGGGATTTACCTGTCTAAATAAAGGTTGAATGAAAAAGTTATAAATTTGATGTAACATATCTAAACCAAAGTTGGGGCAGGAACATGAAAAAGCTGTAAAAGTAAATGGTAGAAATGAGAAACAACTGGAGGAACATTTTGCAACGACCAGTGTAAGGTACCTTAGCATCATCAGTAAGAAAACTGAAAGAACATTTTGAATAGCCTGAATCTCTCAGAAGTAAAGCTGGGCAAAAGTTCATCAATCTCAGGGAAGAAAAACTGCACCTAAAAATAGTAGAACAACTTCAGAATAAATTTTCTTAATAAAACTTAGTGAAGAATATTTCAACATCCCATTGTCTACAGATATGATCAAACAAATGATAGAATATGGAGAAATATCTTTGCTCATGGGTGAAAATCAAGGTCTGGTTTCGATACGGAAAACCCTGAATAGGCTCAGGAACACTGTGCCATCCACAAACACTGGATAAATCTATATCATGCAAAGGAGTGTGAGCACAATCCAGGAATACCACAATCTACTCTGGGCAAAAGCTAATTTAAAGTTGACTGAGGCAAAGTGGAAAACTGTTTTGTTTCAGATAAAAGGAAATTGGACATTCTTCTTGTAAACCATAGATGACACATACTTCATGACTTTTTTCCATACCATTTACTTTACAGCCTGTTGTTGCTTATTTTCACCTTTGATGAGGTGTTGCTACTATCATTCTCAAATAGTTTTGCTAAAAATTGTACCATTTCTTGGTTTAACATTTGATGTATTAAATATGTTTCATTATAAAAATCATATGGGTTGGTGAGATTTGCAAAGCACTGCATTCTGTTTATATTATATTATATTTTACACAACATCCCAGCTTATCAGAAATTATGTTGTACATCAGCCTTGTGTATTTTAGAAATGGTGGTAAAACTCCACCACAAATGTAATTTTCCCCGTCTAATTTCCATAATTGTATTTCTTGCTGTCTATCTCTTTTGTTTTGTCCTTGTCCAATAGACTATGTGTATCAGAGTGTCCCAGTGGGTTCTGGGGAGACCATCGACGCTGTAAAAAGTGCTATTCTTCATGTGAGAGCTGCACAGGAAGTCGTAGTGACCAATGCACTTCCTGTCAGCCTGGTCATCACCTTACGGAAGGGGCTAATACCTGCACAGCCACCTGTGGGGACGGCTACTACCTCGATCATGGTTGGACTTTCAACTCCTATTTTCCATTTTTTGTTCACGGTAATCATTGATTTGAAAATTCAGAAGACATACGAATGAGTGTAAGTCCAACACCCACCATTATTGCCCCAAGTGCTCTTAAGGGGTAATTACTGTCGTAGAATATGGTGATGATATGATTTTTTGCATTCAAGCCACACAAGTGCTTAAAAAACCTTAAGCAAACACACCATTCAGTGTGCTTGTCCTCTCCTCTTCTAAAACAAATAATGGCTCTCCCACTTCCTTGTCAAAGTCCTCACTCTGTCTCAGGTTCTGTTTTTCTTTTTCATCTCTGCCTCTTATGTCTGAAAAGGTTCTGACTCTGTGGCTCCACCCCTCATCTCAAGGTCAAGGTAAAGGTTCTTTATTGCCATTCGCATCACATGTGGGACATGAGGTGGAATGAAATTGTGTACACAGGGTCTCAGTTACATCCAACAACAGCAAAAATATAAAGTGTAAAACGAAACAGTAAATAAGGATCTAATATATAAACTAAAGCCCTGTTTGCACGGGATTAGTTTTACCTAGGGACCACATATTATTTGTAATAATTACGAAGATTATCTGTGTTGTTAATCCCATGCGAATCGGCCGTGTCAGTAATTTGTAAAGTGAAAATTCCCCTGCAAATTATCTACTATATTTTGCTGAACTCCAAGGTCCTGTGATAATACTAATCCAATGCAAATGAGCATCTCTGTGATTTGGACAGAAATGGGCGTGATCCGATATGTAAATAGGCGTTTTTTGTTTCTTGTTTTTGTTTAAGCAAAATCATTTGGAAAAATATAGAACAAGGCTATTTTAAATGAACACGCTGCTCGCTTCGGCTTTTGTAGATGCTGTTACTTCCTTCACCGCAGATGACAGCAGGTGCAGAGACGAACGCAGTCGGTGATGAGCTGATCTATCCATCCATCCATCCATTCATCCATCCATCCATTTTATTCACCCGGTTTTCCTTTTCGGGTAGTGGGGGTTGCTGGTGCCCATATCCAGCCATCACTGTACAAGAGGTGGGGAGCACCCTGGACAAGTTGCAAGTCCATTTCAACTGGCGGGTCAGCAGATGCGCGCAGCCAGTGACAGGTTGTCCATCTGAGCTTAACACGACTTGCAACGCATTAACGTCATATCCAGAAGATGTCCGTAAATTTCAGCTAAATCTCATGCTTTGATTATCCCGTGCGAATGCGCCACATAAAAAGCAGACGTTGGGAGGTAATTTATTTATTACATGTGGTCCCTATAGGTAAAACTAATCCAGTGCAAATAGGGCTTAAGATATACTCTAAACAAATGCCCAATGGTATGCTAAAATATCTAAGATATAAGCTAGTCACTAATAGTGCAAAACAATACACCGAACAACAGCAGCACGAACAAGAGTCTTTGTGGGTGGATGAGTACGAATGAATGAATACAGCACCATGAAATTATCAGCAGCATGAGATTAGCAGCATGGATAATCAGCAGCGCATGTCAACAATCAAAGTTGCATTACAGTAATTTTTTTTCCTCACAGTGATAATCCTGGTTGAGTCTAACAGCTTCAGGGTAGAAGCTGGTCCTCAGTCTAGTGGTTCTACACTTAATGAGCCATAACCTCCTGCCTTAGGGGAGCAGAGAAAAAAGTGTGTGTGCTGGGTGTGTGGAGTCCTTCATGATGCAGGTGGCCCTCTTCCTGCATCTGGAGGTGTAGAAGTCTGTGATGGTGGGGAGGCTGAATAAGCTCAAACAGAAGCTGCAGATTGACATTCAAAAATCACCATGTAGTTTTGACTCAAACACACTAAAAAAGGCTAAACTAAATGCTATGCAACACACTACACCCTAACTATAAAATCCAAACATGTTAAATGTCACAACTCTTTCAAATGTCATTTCTCACTCCCCTTGTCAATGTGTCTCTATTGCTGCCAAACTTCCTTCAACTTCTGCACCCTTTTCTTCTTCTTCCTGTAGATGTTTTGGTACTTGACAAATAACTTCAGGTCTCAATCAGAAAGGAGGTGGGGGATTGTTTGTTTGTTCAGAAGGAGGTGAGAACAGATAAGCGATAAGGCTATTTTTTCCATGAAACTGCTGGTCTTTGAAGATGCCTCGAGTCTTGCGTAATAGAAATCTGGCGATCTCGAGTTATCACGTCCCTTCCCATATATGGAAGTGAATGGGCTGCTTCCAAAGTTGAGACTAAAACTAAAACTGCTTAAAATTGTCACTTAAATTACATTTTTAAATCCAGTTTGTGTAACTTTTAAACGTTTGCCACATAACATAGGTATTTATTTGTTGCGGCTCAATCGAACAATTGATAAGGTCAATAGAAAAAACAAAGCAAATGTATTCTTGTTTTTAGTATTTTACCTTGTTTTATAAGGCACCTTGATTTTATTGTTTTACAACACTGCTTTTTTTATTTAATTGCATTTTATTGTTGCTTATTGTTATCTGTACTTTATATGTTGTCTGTCTAAAACAGGTCTCTCTTGTAAATGAGTCCTCATGACTCAATGAGGCTAACCTGGATTAATACAGGTTGCATGAAAAATTTTATTTTTCTGGATATGTAATGTGAAAAAATTATAGGAGTTTGACAAGGGATGTGTGTCTCCCACAATTTGGGGCCTGCAAATAAACATTAATTTACTGATTCTGCAGTTTAGAGGTGCGTGAGTAAGATTGATTTGTGCCTCTGATGTGTACTCCCTGTGTATTGTTTGTTTTTTCCCCTCAGATACACATATGTGCAGAAAGTGCAGTGAAAACTGCTTGAAGTGCACCTCTTACAGCATCTGCACAGAATGCAAAATAGACACAAGGTGAAACAAATTCTCCAATGATGCTTGAATTAACTCCTCTGCAAACATTGCTTTTTCTCTTTCAGCCACTGAGAATACTAATGCTCAGTGCGCACACACACTCTCAGCAGTATTGCTGCAATTAAATAAAGTTACAGTTTTGCTTAGTTGTTTTTTTTAACTGTGTCATCCTTTTATTTCTTCTCACACAGCTTGAAAAAAAAATCTTTTTCTTGACATGTATTTTACAAAATCAGTATTAGAATGGACCAAACATCATATTGTTGAGCTAGAAGTTTCTGGACTACACTGTTCACTGACTCAGCTCACCAATGGCTTGTGGTGCTGTTGTGGTTGTGGGTTGGAGAAACGAGCCTGTGGTCTGAAGGCAGTGACTCACTGTTATGGTGTCACATGATTGACTGAGTGTGTCACGGTCCCACATGCTCTCTCCGCCCTCTCCAGTCTGCAGGGGAACCGTTGCCAGCGGAGCTGTGTGGACGGGTTCTACTATGACACACAGGAAGACAAATGCAAACCCTGTCACAAGGCCTGTGCTACCTGTGCAGGTGAGAATGAGGTCAAGGGTCAGCGACATAATCTTTATGAATAGTTCTTTAAAAAAGTTGTTTTTTTCATACTTTATTCATGCATAGTATTGCTTACCTGTACAGTTTCTCCCATACATTTTTTGCAGTCAGACTACTTCTGCAAAGTTTGTGCAATTCAAAACACTCAAATATCAAAGTGTTTGGCTCAGTTAAAAATACTGTATTGGGAATTTTGTTTGTTGGAGACATTATACTTTTTGAAATATTTAACTTAATTTACTATATTTGCCCATAGAAAAGACTGAGGTCCCTTCAAGTCCTTTGAAACATTTTTCTCCTTTAAATATGCTTCAGCAGACTTGCTTAACTTTTGTCTTAAGCTACTTTTTGCATTTAGCTACAATTTTGTTAATTTTAGCTTTTGACTACAATTATTTATTTTGGCTTTTAGCTACTGTTTTGCACATCTTAGCTTTTACCTACTGTTCTTCTGATATACAATTTTTAACTCTGGTGATTTTAGCTTTTGACTACTGTTTTGCTAATGTGTTTATTTTTTCTTGCTACTTTAGTATGTTTAGATTTTTGCTACTATTCTGCTGGCTTAAGCTTTTCTACTATTCTGCTAAGTTTAACTTTTGGCTGCTGTTATGCTCTATTCAGCTTTTAGCTGCTTGTTTTAACTTTTGGCTTCTGTTCTGTTCATCTCAATGTGTTCTGCTTACATTCGTTTCTATCCTGCATGCTTTAGCTCATGTTCTGATCATTTGTCATTTGCTCTGATTGTTTCAGCTTTAGTTCTGCTAGTTGCTAAATATATTCTGCTTGTTTTTAACTTGAACAATTCCATTTCTGCTTCTTCAACAAGTTTCAGCAAAGTCATTCCACACTCAGCATTCATGCTGCAATTTTGCACACACACAAAAAAAAAGCTAATTTTTCTAGTGTTTATGGGTTCATGTTTATGTGTATTGCGGCATCAGGTGCAGGTGTTCAGGCATGCAACCGATGTGCAGAAGGCTTCTTGATGGAAGAGTGGAGGTGCGTGTCCTCCTGCAGTGCTGGCTTCTACGCCACACAGCCAAGCCCAGAGTTAGTTGATGGCCACAGGATATGTAGGAGGTGAGCTCACTGGTGTGTGTTCAGATGTGGGTGGTTTGTTTATTGGCTGATGGCAGGCTTTATTCTGGTGGTTGGCTTCAGTCTGTTTCTGCTTGTTTTGGCACTGGTGTTTGTTGTTATCGGCCTGTATGTAGAGTGAGTAGCTGTTTTCTCTGTTTCATGTGTGTTTGTGCATGACTCTGTGTTTCCTCATCAGGTGTGATGCCAGCTGTCTCACCTGTGTGGGTCTGGGTTGGGCGAACTGCAGCAGCTGTTCCAGAGGTCATAGCCTTCAGGAAGGAGTGTGTGTTATCAACACAGAGTGCACAGACGGTCAGTCAACCAGCTCCCTCCCCTAGAACATATTGGCCCGCTGCTCCAGAGTAGATCTAATGTAGCCTTGTTGCATTTTGTTGTGCAGTTTCACACATATCACAATTTTGCTTGTGTGTTTTTGGTGGGGTAGTAGTTGAGCATCAATCACAACTCAGACTCCAAGTGCTACTCATTGTTAAAGATCTTTCTTTAAGCCTTGCCCTGAACTTCAAACTTTTATTTATTTCTGGGTCTGCATGGTCCTCTTGTTGTTTGTCAGGAGAATATCAGGACAGTAATGAGGCATGTCATCCATGTCATACAACGTGTCTGAAATGCACAGGGCCACAAAGCAAAGACTGCATCAGCTGTGGTTCTTCACGGTAAGTTGGATTTCATACATTAAATTTAGGATCAGAGCCCCATTGTAAGTTTTAGAAAGCTGCAAACTATTATTGTCAGGTTTGATGTATAAAACATACTCGTTATAATTCAAAATGTCATGCATGTGACCATAGCCAGAATGATAAAGAGCCTAATGACCCTCTGGTGGGAATGGAGTGTTTCATCTGCATGTGGATGGATGAAGAATTTCATTTAGTTTAAGGCCCCATTTACACAATATCTTCTTTGAGTGAAACCGTAGCATTTCTGCGACATTTAGTTGCTTGTGGACACAACAAGAATGGTGGTTTCCCTTGAAACCAAAGCTTTTAGAATCCACCTTAACTTTAAATTGTAACTTTCTTAACTCAGTTTTTAGTTCTTCAGGAAACTTCATTCAGCACTCGGCAGTCATTAGTTTGCTGTCAAGAGAACTTGTATTTTTTCTCCAGTTTTCTTTTTCATTTTCCGTTTTCTGATTTTTTTTTTAATTTGAACTGTATTTCCTCCATGTTGTATTTTTTAACAATTTTTTCATCATAGCATTTCAGTAACAACACTCGGTTATAGCTCAGTGTTAATACGGGGCCTTCGAATTGCTAAACGGTTTCAGGACCTGCCATGTGGTCACATGTCTGTGATGTTTCTCAGACTTACATATTAACAGATTGTTCGGAAATTGTGTTTGTCAATTTTAAATAATTAACTTCATTATCCAAAATCTCTCACTTTGCCTTTGGTTTAAACTGCTCTCCCTGTGGCTCTGTCTCCTCTCCATTTGTTAACTCACTCATCTACATCTGTGTAAATGTGCCATATGTTGCATGCTGGGATAGAAATAAGCTCTACTCATTTACAGAGTCATAATTTATATGTGTTGATTTTTCTTGTTTTGATTGAGGTTTCTTTTTATTTCCTTTCTTTGCCTTCAGATCTCTGGATGAGGGCCGTTGTTTGGTGACATGTGCCAAGGGCAAGTACCAATCTGGTGGGCTGTGTCACGTGTGTGACCACACCTGTGCCACATGTGTAGATGCAGGACCTGCCAATTGTACTAGCTGTGACACAGGTAAGGAAGAAGTGCAGGCTGTGTGTTGGACAGATAGCTGACAAATCAAATGAAGAAAACTCTTATGACTTGTTGGGGCAGTATGTCATCATAGTTTGTGGCCAGCTTGTCCTCTTAGATAAAGGGATCACAGCAATTTATTTTATAGTTGTTTGGAGTGATGATCTTTCTCCTGTGATAAAACATTTCTCTCCAGGTTGACAGTGCCTCCATCTGTTGGATGTAAAAGATTACTGACTGGTCTCATGAAGATGAGAATCAAATATCTTGACCTTTGCACTCAACCCATATGAACACCTGTGGGAGAATTTACAGTAATACATTAGATCTCATCCTATCCATACAAACAACAAATTTACAAATCATTTATTCTAAGTGTTTTTTCATCTTTCCAACAGAGGTCCCAAGATGGTCAAAAGAGATAGCTTATCTGTCAGTCCAACAGTTCATTGAGGCTCTTAGTTTTTCCTTAAATCGCTTTGTGTCAACCTGGAGCGTGATGCAGACCAGAATGATTTTCCATCACTTAAATACAGTGCTGTATGTAACAGCACAAAAAAATACATAAAATATTTCCAGAAAATACAAATTATGAAGGGTTTTACAGATGTTCATGATATTAGTGAAAGGTGCAGTTGTGATTTTCATGGTAAATATTGAGAAATAAAGAGCAGCTACAAAAAAAAACCTTGCATTTTCATCACTTGTCTGATTCCTGTTGCCACAAAGCTTATAATACTCTCCATTTGTCATGTAGTCATCCTACACACAACCATCCAATGCTGTCTGGCCACGCTTTCCTCCGTCACAACCTTACAGTCTCCAATCTCCCTCAGGTTTCCTCTTCTACACAGAATGTAGTTCACCTGCGTACTCCTTCCTCTACTCTTGTAGGTCACTCTAGGTTCCTCCCCCTTTAGGAAATATGTGTTGACTACAGCCACTTCTATCAAAAAAATCCACCACCATCTGTTCTTCCTGGTTTCTTTCCTTGACACCAAACCTACCCATCACTTTCTCATCTCATCTGTTTCCTTCATCAACATGTCCATTCAGGTCTGCACCCATCACCACTCTCTCCTCCATGGGAATACTTTCTATCACTTCATCCAGATCCTTCCAAAATGTATCTATCTCCTCTATGTCACATCCAACCTGTGAGCTTTTAGAGCAGTGGGTGCCAAATGTGCCATATGGCTGGTGTCTGTGACTCATTACAATCCATACTGATATTGCAATAACAAAAGATTTTCAGTAATGTACATTATATTGTCATAGTCTTTTACTAAATTTATTTATGGAGCTCAGAAGTAAAATTTATTCTTAAGAAAAAGGTCCATGGGCAGCACAGTGGTGCAACTGGTAGAGCTGCTTGTCCCTCAGCGAGCAGGTTGCCCTGGTTCAAATCCCACTCTGGGCGCCTTTCTGGGTGGAGTTCGTATGTTCTTTCCGTGCATGCGTTGGTTTTCTCCCGGTACTCCAGTTTCCTCCCACAGACCAAAAACATGCATGTTAGTCTGATTGGTAACTCTAAATTGTCCCTAGGTGTGAGTGAGAGAGTGAATGGTTGTTTGTCTCGTTTGTCTCGTTTGTATTTTAGTAAATACTTGAATCCTTATTTTATTTTGTAGCCTCGTGAAAATGAGATAAGCCTAAAAAGGCTAGACTCAGCTGTTTTGAATTATTAGTTGTGTGCTAAAATTTGAGGGGTATTTTAGCTTTTGACCTTCTAAAAGGGGAAAAACTAAAATATTTGAACTTTCATTCTTTATAAGACAGTAACTATTGTTCAGGTTAGAGAGAGTCAGAGGTTCTTTATTTGTCGTTCTCACCACATGTGGTACATGTGGTGGAATGAAATTGTGTAAACAGGGTCCCAGTTACATCCAACAATAAAATGTAAAAGAAAAACGGTAATAAGATCTAAGATATGAACTAAGAAAAACGCTAGCTAAAATATGCTAAGCACTAATAGCATAAAAACAATATGCTGAACAGCAGCACAAGCTAAAGCACCAACTTTAGAGGTTTGTGTTTACAGTTTTTCATCTAAAAATGGGAACAGCAGAGGTTTTTGTCACTTCAAGTGGCTCATTTTAGATTGTTTTGTGTAAAGGCCATTGAAACTTAAAACATTAAATAAATATAAAAAAGTTTTTATGCATTACCCTTATTAAAACTCAAATCTAGTCAAGATTACACATTTACCGGTATTTGTGTTTTTCTCTCCAGATAAGTTTGGGATGGAGCGTTACCTGCATAAAGGCATGTGTCTGGACACCTGTCCTGAGGCCTTCTACCACACCACTGAGAGCACCTGTGAGCCCTGCTCTGAAAACTGTCACGTCTGCACCAGCCACAACCACTGCTTGAAGTGCAACTCTTCTTACTACGTGTCAGATGGAGTGTGTGTCAAGCAGGAGTGTGGAGAAGGTAAACAAGGGCACAGTATTTTATAAAGACAGGATTGTGTGTGTGTGTGTGTGTGAGACCTTTTGCACATCTCAAAACATCTTTCTTACTCATTCCGATAGGTTTTCTCACCATGTCCACTTTGTCCCTTGTCTGTGCTTTCAGGAGAGGTGGAGGATCCAGATTATGACGACTGCATGCCTTGTGAGGAAGGCTGCAGGAAGTGTGTTTTGTGTAAGTCACAGTTCAGCAGCTATAATAACACGTTCTCAAAACGCTTAAAGAGGACAGAGCTCTCGTGTCAGACCACGTTCAGAGGGTCTTCCCAGTAGTTCCTGTTTGAAAGGAGAGCTGAGTATTTTGTGTGCTTTCAACAGATAACCCCAGGCACTGCCTGTCCTGCACCGAGGGGTTTTACAAGTAAGGCTGTGTGCCTCTCTGTCACCCTGTGTGATATCACCACTGTACTCTGCCTTTCATTTCACTGCTGTCTCATAATGAAAAGGCTTCCCTTTTTTTGCTGGAAGAGCAGAGTGGATTTCTGTGCATGTGCGACTGCAGGTATTAACTGCTGCTTTTATTATTAGCTTTCAGGATGGCTGCTACAAATCCTGCCCAGCCAAGACATACAGCATGGAGGAGGAGATGACCTGCGCTCCATGTGACGACAACTGTGTGAGCTGTGATCAACATGAGTGCTACTGGTGTGAGACTGACCTCTTCTTATCAGGTAAAGCTGATGCTATTGCTTTTGCATACAAACTAAAGCTGTCAACATGCATTATTGTCACACGCTGTCAAGAAAGTCCACTAATCCTGCAATCATCTGAGTGTGTTAGCTAATTGTTTCATAAATCACTAGACAGAATTTATTGGAATTATCACAAGTAATCACTTGATGCACATCTGCAGCTAATTAAGCTTTGGAGTGAACTCGATTCAAGATGGCCACTACAGCTAATTAATAATAGCAATCATAAAAATTGCTATAACAATACATTTTAGAGATATTGAGCAAAAAAATTGGTGTATTATTATTATATGCATATTAAATTTTACACCACGTGGGAATGCTAGTTTAATTTTAAATGACATTGGGTTTTTTTCTTTTGAAACATTTGTACATAATTTTTCAATGGTAACACTTTATCAAGTCTGACAGAAGGTCTAATTTTAATTTATAACTTTAAAAAATTGTCCTGAGTCAGGTAAAATTGTGAAGAGAAAAAAGTCGAATTCAAAATTGAAAAAAAAAATGGTTTAGTCTACTGCAAGTGTAGTTTAATTCATGAGAACATTCAAAGATTTGCATTATAACTTTATTTTACCTGACTGTTTTTTCACTTGTCTCTGTTATGACTTTAAAACATACAGTTGATATCCAGATCCTCATTGTATCAGGGGAAGTATAGATTTTAAAATTATCATTTAGATTGAAAGAAAAACTTGATGAAAGAAGTCTCTGTGTTTAGCTTTTATATTTGTAATGTTCACAATGAGCTATCTTTTGCCTTTGAGTTAAAAGAAACAATGTTGTTTAAGTAACATTAATCCTCGTGGGACAGCAGCTTTGTCTTCTTTGGAATGAGGAAGAAGCTTTAAGATACAATTCATAATTTAGATTACATTTGAATTGCTTGAAGGTGTAGTGAACCTGATCTGACCCTGATCTGACCCTGATGACCTCAAATCTATCAGATGGACAGAGACTGTTATTTCATTGATCTGAATACAGTTTGAGCCATCTGGTGACTTTCCTTCTTGAATTAATCAAGCAGAAAAGACAATTTTATAATCATCACTGTTTTACAAATGTTTGATAATCAAATTGTGTTAGTTCACTCAATGCTTACAGGTTGAAGAGAACTACTCATTTTTATTTTACATAAACAGTAAGTAATGATTTTTATTCCTCATTCAAAGAAGAAATCAGGTTAATATGCATTTCTTGATTTTCTGTCTGAAATGAGCCAAGCAACGTAAGTATGTGAAAGTTGAAGCTTCGGTCAACTAAATGTTTACTGAAAAAGAAATGTCATGTTTAATCTTTACAGAAGATACAGAAGAGTTTGACTCCACGAAGTCTGCTTTTCAGCAATAATCTCTCTGTCAGTTGTTAAACAAACTCATTCTCTGACCTCGACTTTTGATAACACCTTACGTCAAAAACCACACCTCTTTCTGGTCCATCCACGAATCAGAAAGCTCTAAATTGACCCGGAAGTCAACTCATTTAAAATGTGGCAACTTCCCGGTTCTGTTAGAGTCTGGAGAGTCTGGGAAAGAATTCCAGAGAGTTCCAGAGGCTGAGGAGATGAAGAACTAGAGAGTTGCTGGAGTTGAAAGATTCTGTTAGAGTCTGAGAAGTTCTGAAGAATGAAAGGAGTTCAGAGTTCTTGGGTGCAAACGCGTTCAGGATGATCCAGAGACGTTTTGGGATTATGACTTCTGTTTGAACAAACCACGCACGACTCTCGAAGGATTTCAGCTGCTCTCAACGGAGACGCTGAAATAGTCGGAAGGATTCTATACCGAGCTGATCTACGTCGACCAGGTAACAGTTTCTTCTTCGACTAAAGTGTACCGGAGGCAAGCTGAGATCTGATGAAGCGTGCACGTTCTGGACAAACAGATTAATTCCCTCACACATCTCTCTGTAAGATAACTCCATTTCATCTTAAAACTCTCCTCTTTCTCATAAAATCAGTACAGATATTTTAGAAATATCTGAAGCAAAGTCCTCGTTCACCGCAGAGTGATCGATGTCCCTTTTCTGTGAAACTTGTCTGTTATTATTTTCATATTTTGCCAAATTAATGTAAATGTTTGATGTTAAACTTTGATTCTGAAAATAAATGACCGCATTCATTTTGATGGGTCAAAGATAAATAACGTCTCTCGTTACATTTCTGTTAAATTCAATGCACGACATTACACAGTCAGAAAGATGAGGAACTCGTGAATATATTGTATGCATATATATCTCATATATTGTCATACTACAACTAGTGGCACGTACCTACGTGACTACTACAAAGGGAATCAATAATTGCACTCAATGGCAATTAACTCATCATGATGAAATGTTATCTATGGTAACAAGTTTGAATGCAGTAAAGAACTGAACTACAAAGTATGAACAATACACTTAGGTTGCAGTTTTTGAAAATGTTTACTGTTATAGTTTTGAGACAAAAGGATTAGACTTTTGCTGGTTAAGAACTGTATAATAAAGAGTAATAATTTGTAGAAGATAAAAAAAATAATGCTCCAACTCTTATAACCTTAGGTAGGATGGTGTTATCTCACAAACAAACATTAAATGTCTTGCATTTGTGAAGGAATGAATATTGCTCGCAGCCTTTGATGCCAGAGATTTAGACAAAGATCATCTTGTGTTGAGAACTGGCCCATTTGGTTAAGCCTGGAAAATAACATAATGACCTTTTTATGCAATATCTTTCATGATCTGTTAGCAATTGGAATATGTGTTGAGGATGATATTCAGCTACTACCAAACCAGACTTTAACTCAAGATTTGTAAAATGAATTGAGTTAGACCCATTTTTGTGTTGGCTAAGGTTGATTAATTGTATCGTCTATCTGGGGAAGTGGTGGCGCAGAGGCTAAAGAAGATGGGCCTGTGATCGGAAAATCGCAGGTTCAACTCCTGGTACCGTAAACATAAAAAAAATGTGGGTGGGAAAAGGTGAATCACCCACACCTGCCTCCACCCTCATTTGCCCCACTCTGGGCCCCTGAGCAAGGCCCTTAACCCCCACCATCTGCTCCCTAAAACAGGTCTCGCTTGAAAATGAGTTCTCGTAGCTCAATGAGACTTCCAGTATAAATAAAGGGTAAATTTAAAGAAAAGACTCCAAAAGTTAACAAAGTGCATATATACATTAAAAAATTACTTCCTAAAAGTGCATTTAAAACCCATTCAGTTATTTATGAGCTATTTTGCTTATGATGCATACAAGCACCCCCCCACTCCCACCCCACCCCCCACAGACAAAGGCAAAAACATTATCCCTCTGCCACTGCCTTCATAGTTACCTCTTAAAATTTAAAAACTTGTAAGTAGTGATTGAAAACCGAGACATAGGGCTTTAGTATAAATGCATATCTGCTGTACCCATTCATGTCACTTAATTTTGTGTGGTCGTTATTCCTGTCTTCAATTTTAATAAAAAAATTTTTTTTGGGCTGCTCCTTTCTTCTGGAGTTGCCACAGTGAACTAAACAGCAATAAGACTTGGCAGTTATTTTTTACGCTGGGTGCCCTTCCTGACGCAATCACAGACCACCGAGCTACCACTGCCCTCTGTGTGGAGCAGACAGCTGCTATCTAGGGTGCCTGGGGGAGCAGATGGTGGGAGTTAAGGGCCTTGCTCAAGGGCCCAGAGTGGGGCAAATGAGGGTGGAGGCAGGTGTGGGTGCTTCACCTATCCCACTCACATTTTTATGTTGTCAGTACCGGGAGTTTAACCAGCAATCTTTAGATCACAGGACCATCTTCTCTAACCTCTGTGTCACCACTCCCCTGTTCATGTCATCAAAAAAAATGCAAATTGAAGTTTTTGGCATCATCATGCTGTGATCTCTAGCTCTCACTGGAGTGGTGCACAGCCAAGTTTGAAGCAGCTGGGATGAGAAGCAGCATCTCCAAATATGAGGCCTAAGGTCCTCAACTGGAAAAGGGTGGATTGCTCTCTTCATGTCGAGGGTGAGTTTCTGCCTCAAGTGGAGGAGTTCAAGTATCTTGGGGTTTTGTTCACGAGTGAGGAAGGAATGAAGCATGAGATTGACAGATGGATTGGTGCAGCAGCTGCAGTATTGCGGACTCTGTACCGGTCCATTGTGGTGAAGAAGGAGCTGAGCTGTAAGGTAAAGCTCTTTGTTTACTGGTTGGTCTACATTCCTACCCTCATCTATGGTCACAAGCTGTGGATAGTGACAGATTGTGGATACAGGCAGTTGAAATGAGTTTCCTCTGCAGGGTAGAGGATTCACCCTTAGAGATAGGGTGAGAAGTTCAGTTATCTGGAAGAGACAGAGTAGAACCGCTGCTCCTCCACAACGAGAGGAGCCAGTTGAGGTGATATGGGCATCTGGTAAGGATGCTGCCTGGGCACCTCCCTAGGAAGGTGCTTCGGGCATGTCGGACTAGGAGAAGATCCCAGGAAAGACACAGGACATGCTGGAGAGACTTTGTCTCTCAGTTGGCCTGGGAACGCCTTGGAATCCTCCCATAAGAGCTGGAAGAGGTGGCTGTGGAAAAATGTCTGAGCCTCCTTGCTCAAGCCACTGACCCCACAACCTGACTTCAGAATAAGTGGAAGATGATGGACAGATGGATGTTTTTGGGGTCAGTAAAGGACTGCTACCTCAGTGCAAAATTTTTCTTCCACTTCAAAGACCTTCAACCCTAATTGATGTGCCATATTTCACATAGCTTCATTTGCAGCAACAAAAGGCCTTTCTTCTCACATATACAGTAATACTGTAAACACATAACCACCAAAAACGGTGAGCTTTTCCAGGGAATGTGTTGCATACATATTAAACTCTTATCTCACACAACATAATCTTTTCCCTTTTTTATCTCCCAGAGGGGAAGTGTGTCTCGGTCTGTCCTGGTGGTTTCTACGGCAACGAAGAGTCCAACGACTGTGAGGAGTGTCACTTGGACTGTACAACGTGTGTCGGCCCCGAGGACAGCGACTGTCTGTCGTGTGAGGAAGGACAGGCGCTTGATGATGGGGAGTGTGTGCCCAAGGATGACGTCTGTCCTGTTAAGACCTTTCTCAGTGGTGAGACTAATAACATATTCCGCTAATCTAAATGTCTGGCCTTAATGAAGCAGGGATTTGGGCACTTTCAGAGGGGCAGCAAAGAAATGCTGGAGGGTAATTGATGTGTGTGCCACCATCCCTGAACTTTGCACCAACTTCAGTTCTCGAAGCAGACTGAACGTCGGACAGATACTGGCTGTAGCATAATTGACTGTATACGCTGAACTTTTTCTTCCCTCCATAAAACAACATGACAATTAGTTTGAGGCAAGAGATCTTAATTATAGGAGCTTTATTAACTCGGACAGGGGTGCATAGGTTATTAGCACAAGCGCTCAAGATGAAAAAGATAAGTTTTTCTTTAAGCCCAACATTTTTCAGTCAGGTCATCTGGACAGTTTCTTTTTTTTGTGCTGAAAAAAAGAATGCCCCCTCCTCCATTGCCGGTCCTCTTCTTTGTTGACAGTCATGTCAAACTGGTTGAAAACAACAAAGTCCATGCTCAATAATCCAGGTATAAAATCCAACATTTTTCAGTCAGGTCATTGGATTGTATACCTGGATACCTGGATTATTGAGCATGGACTTTGCTGTTTTCAACCAGTTTGACATGACTGTCAACAAGGAAGAGGGCAGACAATGGAGGAGGAGGCATACCAAAGAGACCATCTTATCACAAGCAAAACTGGTTTGTTCCACTTTGGAGTAAGCTGTTGGGGGAATAATCAGTTTTGTTTTGTATGTCCTTGACTGATGAAGCCTTCTGGATCGAAGGTGAAACGTTTCAGTACAAAAAAAAGCAACTGTCCAGATGACCTGACTGAAAAATGTTGGATTGTATACCTGGATTATCGAGCATGGACTTTGTTGTTTTTCTTTAAACTTTAAATCTTAGGCACAACAAAACTTCTGATTTAAAATAGATGTTTTCAATCACCGATGGATCACCTATCCTTGACTGCGAGGGTCAAGAAAATATTATTGCTCAAGTGTCTGCTAAACATATATCGACACATGATTGAAAACAGAAAGAAGGAATTAGCCTGCCAAATGTTTCAAACAATTCCTGGCAGAACTTTAAATAGATGGTCTGGTCATTTTTGAACTGATGTTATGTTAAATAGGTATCAACTTTATCAGCTCTGACATCAGTAAGATGAAAAGGGCAAAAGTCTGAAAACGTTTGACGTTTCAAAAACAAAAAGCCCTTATTTTACGAGCTATTCATATTCATATATTTATATATCTATTAAGACTTTTGCCTATTTCTCCATGACTACTAACGTTACTGCTGATAAGTACCAGCTACTGATAACTATTTGACAGAGCACTACTTCAAGTTCAATAATCAGGCAGTTACTGCCCATTTCTTTGATCTATACAGAAACCAAAATGTAAAAACTGTCAAGTTGGAGTTTACCTGAGTTATCTTGGTGTTTTCTTTCTTTCCTATTCTGTTTATAATCTTTATCCTGAGTCCACATTAAATCAGGAATGTTTACCATGAGCTCATTTTTCTTTTACTGCATGTTTTGTGCTGAAGCAAGACGTTGCATTGCCACTAAGGTTCTCCAACAATCCAAGTGCTGTTTCTCCTCTAGATGATGGTGAGTGTGAAGACTGTCACCCATCCTGTGAATCCTGCTCTGGACTGGAGAAAAACCAGTGCCAAACATGTGGAAAAGGTATTTTAGTCACTTATGATTTTAGACCTGCAGTTTAGTGTTGTCACGTTTTCTGAGCGGTGATGTTTACTTGCTGCTTCTCCTCCTCCAGGGCGATTTTTGACTACGCAGCAAACATGTGTGTCAAAGTGTCCAGTGGGCTTCTTCGCCAGTCGGCAGAGTGGTGTGTGTGAGGCTTGCCCTCAGGGCTGCTTGCAGTGTTTCAGTGCGCAGCGCTGCAGCCGCTGTCAGAGCTTTCCCAAAGCTCTGTTTTTCCTGCAAAATGGGCAGTGTGTTCCAGAGTGCATCAGGTCAGGGGTGAATCTTACTGCACTAATACATTTATGTACAGGTATACTTACCTGCTGTATTTCAGCTCTTACTTTTTAGTGATTGTTGAAAATAATTATTGCTGTAATTTGCATATATTGAACATCAGGTGAGATGCTTGAGGAACACAAGCTGAACATGCCCAAAATAAAATGTTAACGGACATATTTGTTGCCATGATTATAACTAGAGATGGGGCCGATTCGATCCAGTATTGGTATCGGCCTCCGATACCAGCAAAATGTACGTATCGGATTTTCCAATCCACCTGCCAATATTTCTGATCCATGCATGTCTGTGGTTGCGCTGCATGTTGGCCTCAAACTATGGAATGGATTTCCTGAACGGCAGCGTGTCTCATGAACCCAGAGTAATAAGACCCACCTCACATTCAGGAAATCCAGTTCATAGTTTGCAGCCAGCTACAACGCGAGTGCTGAGTTAGCAGCACTGTGGCTAACAGCTAACAAACTTTTCATCGAAACATGTCCGCTGTGCGGAAGTATTTTACACTAAACACCACAAAACAAGACAGCAACGTGCAATGTCTGCAGAGCCATAGCGCCACATTAAATAGCGGTAAAGTTAGTTTTACAATGGACATTCGAGCTCCGTGGCTTCAGTGGGGTGCTGCTCTTTGCTCAACCCAAAACAAGCGACTCGACACTGACCAGCCACGTCCAATCTGCCCCACTCAGTCTGCCCGTCTCCGAGGAGGGACAGACTGAGCGTGGCTGCCCCAAATCAGACTGCCTGCTTCGGATTGAACAAGAAAAAGACATCGCTGAAACCACGGAGCTCAAATGTTTACAGAGAAGTTGCTAAACTTCATCATAATTAATGACCAACCACTATTAGTTGTAGAAAACAAAAGATTTCACAGCTTGATACTTGCAGCCAAGATATAGTTTACCCTCCAGGAGATATTTATCAGTACAACAGTAGACAATCATAAAAAACATATGATTTGAAAATTATAAAAAAAACAAAAACAGCTACATTATATAGTGATGTAAAATACTAAAAACAAGAACATGTCTGTTGGTTTATGCATGAACTTAGCAGATGTTTAAAGCCATTTAATATTTTATTTGATTTAATTCATTTATTCATTCATTTAAATGAAACAAAAATTTTTTTAAATCATCAAAAAGAAAATGTTGAATGAAAAGAGTGCAGAAAGAAGAAAAAATTCTTATATCTGCCCCTTATAAAATATAAAACAACTTTAAACAATCACTTAAATTAATCACTTTAATATCCACTTTAAAGCTCGGAATAAAAAGAAACATGTTTTGTGTTAGCAGAATTTAATTCTAACTATAAAACTTATCTAACATTAATAAAACTTACCTCAAGTTGCCTTTTTGGACACGCATGCATATATTTGTACAAATTGTACTTGAGAGGAGATTATTACAGCCTCATATAAAATCACTGATGATCATGATATCGGAACTGGATCGGTATCGGCCGATACTCAGATCTAGGTATCGGGATCGGATCGGAATTTAAAAAAGTGGATCGGTGCATCCCTAATTATAACATTTACTTTTATTTATGCAAATGAAATGTACCATTCTCAAAATTGGCAGACTTTGCCAAAGCTCCATTAGCTCTGACAGGACAGTTTAAAAAAATGTTAAGATGGCTTAAAAAAGAATTTGAAAGACAAAGTTAATGTAGATCTGGGCTGCTTGTTTAATTTCAGCAGAATTTAGGCAAATCAGTGTGCAGTATATGTGCACAACTTCAGTGTGCTGTTCTGACTACTGATCTTTTTTGTTGTCTCCATAGGGGTCACCCTGTAGGCCAGCTGTGTCATGCCTGTGCACTTGGCTGTGCCTCTTGTGAGGGGAACGCCACTCACTGCCTAACCTGTGAAGAGCCTCTCCTCCTGCATAACCACCAGTGTGTGGAGGAGTGCCCTCCAGCACATACCGTCCAGGAAGGGGAGTGTCATCAGGGGTGCTCTCCACCCTGTCGAGAGTGCAACCAGGCTGGGCAGTGCACAGGTATAGAAGCACAACACCACCCAGCTCTTAATCCTGTGGGTTTAACAAATGAAAAAAATGTAATGATTTATACGTTTAAAAAAATATTATCTTCTCTGTCTCCTTTAAAACATTTAGAGCACTTTCACTGTGTTGCAAGAGTTTGTGACTCAATTTAAAACAAGTTTTTCTTTGTTTAGCATGCGAGGAGTATCACTTTCTCCATGAGGGTCTGTGTGTTCCTAGTTGTCCTGAGAGTTTTTTTGAGGATGACCAACAAGAGGAGTGTGTGCGTTGCCATGTTGACTGCGCTTTATGTGATGGCCCGAACAGCGATGACTGCGATGCCTGCATCGACTCTGAGGCCACCCTGCACAATGGAGCCTGTCTGACACCCTGTCCCTCTCATACGTACAGGGACACTATGACAGGAGAGTGTGAAGGTAGAGCAAACATCGCACAGTGAAAAGCATGCAAGGAAAGTTCACCAGTCTGTTCAAATGGTATGGAATGTTGGGTTAATCAAAAAAAGAAAAGAAAAGAAAATGTGTTCACCTATTTTAAATGAGCTCAGATTATGACAAAGACTGCTCTATCTTTTTTTTTTAATGATGCTGTGTTTTCAGTCCTGTGGCGTGCCCTTCCTGCCTGTTCTCATCTCTGCTTTGCCTCAGTGTGCTTCTTGACTTTGGCTCAGATTAAAATAGCTGCGTTCCTCCGATGGTTAACAGGCAGCTGTCAAATGTTAGAAATGCACAGTGATGCTAACGACAGTTCCCAAGAGAAAGACGCACTGCTTTTGGTTTTGTTTTCCCAAAATGAAAAAAAAGTACAGAGGATGATGTGTTTCTCACAGAAAAATGTTGTAAGCAGTGCCTGCTTTAGTTGTTACTGAAAGCAGCTGCCACTAGAGATATGTTGCTATTCTACAAAAGTGAAGAGAGATTTTCTTGTAGAAAATATTTTACAGGTCTATATTTAAATTCCAATGTGCAGATGTGGTAAAATGCACATTTCAAAACATCTTTACCAAATATCGATATAATTATGGTTATATTATGTGCCAAAAGCCAAAGGAGGAAAATGGTTTTGCCTATGATTGTCTGTTACCAAAGTGCCGCATGAACCAATGGACAAATTTTGTTGAAAATCACAGAAAGTATTTATTTAATGCACCTTTCGAACTGATTAAATTTTGGAATCAGCCTCATTAAAGATGGCTGCCACAACTTTTTTTATTGAATCATTGAACATACAGAACAAGTGAACACAATAACAGAATAAATGACAAACTAAGATTCCAATGATACATATAAACGTAAAAAAAATCTACTGTCATGCCTCCTAAATTCAACATATTCTTAAACAAATTATCATAAAAACCATCATAAAATTAAATTTAGGTATGGCTGCCACAACTAACTTGACCTTAACAAACAAAATAGAAATGGTTTTAATTCTGTCGAATTCTACAGACACTGCGCTAAAGTTTGCACTGGTAGTTGCTGAGACTGATCTCCAACAAATATTTTGAGTGCTACCTGATGGTGCAAGAATTTTGTTAAAAAATTGCCATTGACTATTTGATGTCAACTCTGTAAGCAAAACATTGCAATTCAAGATGGATGCCACAGTCAATCGAACATAGAAAACACAAAAATTATGACAATTTGGTCAATTATACACAAATTGTCCGAACATTTTGCTAGACAGTAGCTCAGTGTCATGAATAGCACATAATCAAATTAAAAAATTAACTCATCGTTCAAGATCTCAGTTTAAAACTTCAGATTTAACTGTTGGAGTCAGCCATCTTAGCCTATT